AGAAAGAAAGAAAGAAAGAAAGAAAGAAAGAAAGAAAGAAGAAAGAAAGAAAGAAAGAAAGAAAGAAGAAAGAAAGAAGAAAGAAAGAAGAAAGCAAACAAGCTACAATGAATATTTAAAAGAAAAAGAAAAAAGTTATGGCAATAAAAAGCACATTGCCAGGAATGTCTTGGTGTGCTCAAAATAATGGGGAGTATTTGGAGGGGGGTTGATGGCAGCATGTCTTTTACTGAAATAAGCTGCTCTTGTTTGAATAGTTACCATATTATTGAGCACACCTCACTGATAAATGGTTCCAACAATTTCCATCAAACAAAATATCACAAAATGTATCCCCAACTAGCCTGTTTGCTAAGTCTGGCATTATGACTTCTGGGTCTTCCCCATAGTTACAATGACCACAAAAGGAGAATGTCTTGAATCTGTTTAGGACATCAAGGCAGCAACAGCTATAAAATTAAAGATGCAGAATAAAGAAAACTTGAAAGCTGCTTCAGAAAGGAGCATACAAAGGGAACAAGTGTGTTGGAAGTGAGGGGTGGTAATTAAGAGAACTAATGACCATGTGCCTTTTACTGAGAGAATTATTTTTAAATGCCAATATTCACTTTATTTTTCAATCAGACTTGTATAAGGAAAAACCTCCTGCAATAACATGAGCCAAATTAACAATAACATGCGGAGATTAATTATAAATAAATGAATGGAGATAATGAAAACTATGATATGCAAATGAGCTAAGCCTAATTTCTTTGCAAAGAGAGAGTGACCTCTTCTGCTCTGATGTGGGGCAGGACAGGGCTGAGTTGCACAGATAGCGGGTCCTGGTCCTGAAACCCCACTGTACCTCAAGATGTTCACACAGTTGACCCCAGCTGCACCATACCCAAAACAAGCAGCTTGAAAACCCAAGAATGACTGTTTCCCATTCATGAGGACTTGAACTCCTTCTCTCCTCACCTCACCAGGGCACCCCAGAAAGGGCCAGCCAGCAGATCCAGAGGGAGGCATCGTCAGCCTCCCTGGCAGGCTGCCTGCTGTGCTGGCTGTGGGTGGGTGCCCCTGCCCTCCGGCCGTGCCCCTCACACTCCGGCAGCTACACCAGCAACACCAGCTTACATGCATGTAACGAGCCAGGAGGAGGAGGCAGAAGCCCCGGGCTCCGTGTGCCCTTCTCCAAACACATGTATCTCGGGGCACAATCTCATGGCTAAAGCAAGGCACAAGGTCAGCCCAGCTCAAAGAGTGAGGAAACAGGCTCACCTCGTTCAGAGAAAAGCACCTAGACAGATCCTGAGAAATGCATAGCTTTGCATACGTAAGAGAGAGCAGAGAAAGGGCAAAGAGGCAGAAATTCAGTATGTGACAGAAAGTGAGTAATACACGCAGATAACGGTGACTGTGGAAACAATAACAGAGCATTTGTCAGGGTCTGTCAAAGGTGTGCATACTGTACTCTCTTTATTCCTTATAAACATCCTTGGAAGTCAATTTTTTATTAGTATTTTACACACCAAAACCTGGTATAGACAAATTAAGACATTTCACCCCAAGTACTGCAACTAGCAAGTAATAGGGCTGGTATTCCACAAGAAACAGACTTCAGCCTCAGTTTCATGCTTTTTATCCCTAAGCCATTCTTCTGAAGAAAAAGAACATCCCTAAACAGTCTCGTACAGGGTTCCCACTATCTGGAAGTCTTATTATCAGGCTGTTAAAATTTTTAAAATATGTAGAAAGCAGCAATAGTAAATATCTTAAAACAATTTTGTAAGTTAAATGCAATGAAGCATTTCCTATCTGTAGCAACTTTATCACTAAAGGAGAGTCTGCAGTCATGTCACTTAGGCCCTTGCCACTGGATTATTAGCGTTGTAGTAGCAGGTGAACCGTGTCAGTAAAGCCAGTTGCCCGTAGGCATGCGTTGATCAGCAAGGAAGAAAGTAACAGATCACTCGAAGTGAACTGCTAAACAGCATCTGCGCCATGTCTTCACCTCCCTTCAAATGCTTGAAACATGACCTGGACATGCGCCAGTGTCACAAGATGAATGTGATTACTCTGCATTGAAAACTTGCACTAAGAAAAAAAATTTTAAGTGCTCTATTAAAGAGAAAATATAGCAGCATAATCTGTCATAGCTAAATCTTGGAAACAACCCAAATGCCCACCAGCTGAGGAATGGATAAAAGGAATGTGGTATTCTTATAAGATGAAGCAGTATTCAGCTATAAAGAAACATAAACTCAAGGCTTTTATTTTATTTTATTTTGCTTTTTCAATTTTAAGGAAGGTCCACAGGGTGCTCAGGGTCTCACTACTAGATCGGACTCATAGTGATCCACCTGTTTACAGCCTCCCAAGAGCTGGGATTACAGGCGTGTACCAGCACACCCAGCCTCAGTTGCTGTCTCGGTGTGCTTCAGGGGCAGTGCTGGCACAGCAGGCCTAGGGATCAAACCCCTGGCTCCTGTGCCTGCTTGCATGTGCTTTAATCCTCTGAGCTATCTGGCTGGCCCTCAAGGCTTTTTTATGTAAATAGACCCAGCTAGAGACCATACTCACAGGTGAAATAAATCAGACTGGCGTGCGCAAACATTGCATTGTCTCCCTAGTGTAAGAACCTGAAAGAGTAAATGAAATCCAAAAGGTATAATAGATACTGTGACATGGAAAGAAACTGCTCAAAAGGAAGAAACAACTAGGAGGAGGGAATGGGTAAAAGGAAGAAAGAAGGAAGGGAAGTATTACGTGTGTGTATGCGCAGGATAGCTTGGATAATTGCACTGCCGAATTCTACTGGTCTGTGGAAAGGAACAGCTAATGCTCAATTTTTTTCACCAATTTTTCTTTTTTTATATATTTGGTACATGGTACAGGGTCTCACTAAGCAGCTCAGACTCCTAGTGATCCTCTTATTTTCAGCCTCCCCAATGCAGGGGTTACAAGTGTGTGCCACCACATCTGGTCTTTTTCCAGCAATTTGTGACCAAATTTCATGCTTATCTCTGGTAATCTGAACAACTAATTTGAAGATAACAATATTCAATGTGACAACCAGTTCTGATTTTGTAACATTTTGTCTAGAGAAACTCTGTACCATTTCTAATGGCTTTTATTACTATTTTTATTTTCTTTAAAAAATTAAAAAAGAAAGACAAAACATTCATTCAATGTATGCTGAACTTTTTGAGAATCATGTGTGAAAAGCATAATAGGTTTATATTTTGCAGTAGGTTTGGGATGTTCAGATATTAAAAGGCTGTGAGCCTCCGCATTACATCCCTGATCCTCCTACTTTAAACTCCAGCAGTGTCCCTCCATCTCTGGGACAACCAGATCGCTCCACAGAGGTCCATGTGCCTGTCAAGGTGGCTCCACACGCAGGACCTGCTCAGGGAGGCCGGCTCCTCGCTTCTCGGTCTCACCTTTTGCCCCCTCCCCTACTCATCTTTCCCAAGCTGACTGCCTTCTTTGTTGGTGTCCAACACGCCACCCACATCCCGGTTCTCCCTGTTCTGGTGCAACCACTGCCTTTTTTCTTGTCTTTCCTTTGCTGCTCCACTACTGCAGAAGTTCTGCTTGACCACCCTCTATGAATTACAGATATTCCCCATCCAGACCAGCGTTCCTCCTTGCCTTCTCTGCCGTCACCTCGCTTTCTCTGAATGGTGCCTTGCAGGGAGGGATAGCACAGTGATTCAGCGGATGATCTTGAGCTGGGTTTGGAAAACTGCAACTTCGTAGCTCTGTGACACTAAGCAAGCCACTTAGCTCACTGTGTTTCTGTTTCTCCTCTTATTAAATGATAATGGTGTCAGTAATATCTAGCTTAAAAGTTGTTTTTCAGCCAAATGAGTTAATGTATATAAAATTCTTAAATCAGTGCATGCCACACAGATAAATCGCATATAAATTTGTGTTATGGTTGTCTCATGCATTTATGAATAAGCTTCACAAAGGCAGAGACCTTGATTAATTATGCACATCCATGGCCCAACAGGGAGTCTACAAGAGGAAGATCCATATCAGATGTCCATGAAATTAGTGGATAGACATAAAATTATATCCTAAAGCTGGGAAAAGCTCTCTCACATTCGACTAAAAGTTCATGAAAGATGGTCCACACTGGACCTGGGAAGTGCCAAGGAGCCACCTACAAAGAGATGCTGTAGGCAACAAGGAACTGAGCTCAGGTTTTCTTGGACACTTTTCTCCCTCCACGCCCACCACGTCGTTGGGCCCCTGTCTGTAGCAGCTACCTAGGCAACCTTTAACAATACAAACAAAAAGCATGAAATTTGGGCTGCAGAGATGGCTCAGTGGTCTAAAGCGCCTACTTAGAACAAGCTCAGCAAAGCATCAGGGACCGCGGTTCGATCCCCCAGCACCACATGCCAGCCAGCCCCGCCCCCTGGTGGGCTGAGCTGGCCACACACACACA